GGGGGTTGTTGGGAGGATTGGTTTAAAAGGGGGACAAAAACTGAAAAATTTTTTTTTTTTCCAGTTGTTTTTTTTTTTTTTTTTTTTTTTTTTTTTTTCCACTCCACATTGCAGTGATTCAAATCTGGCTCTACTGTAAAGTGTTGTTATTTTTTTTATATGAGTAAAATAATTGTATCTAATATGATTATGAGGTTGTTTTAATTATGTTTTCTGTGGTGTCAGTTTGTCGCCATTGAGTTCCTTTTGTCATGTGTTTTGTTGGTGTAGCAGATTGTCAGACTGAGATCAGGTGAGACGAAGATGGTGGTCATAGGAACCCTGGTCAGCGTCCACTTAGGTTCTGAGATTCTCCCAATGCACATCTCAAACAAAATGTCTGACGCTTGTGCACTATGACGTCATAGTGCACAAGCGTCCAGCTTGAGGCGTTGGATGCGTTTTTGAAGTGCAAAACACGTTTGGCCTGAATGCAGCATAATTAAAATTGAAGCAAGAGGAAGACATTTTACTGCTGACAGAGATGCCGTTCATCTAGACACTTCGCTCTTCTCAATGGGGGATGCTTGTCTACAGACACACAATTTCCGGTACAGTTTCATAGTGTAGCTTCATTCATGGTTGAGGTGGCACATTTATACATCACAGCCAAATATTAGAGTCATAGTCATACTAGAAAACAGTTTATATTTATGCTTTCATGAAACTGACATTCATTGTTTGTCGCTTGTCCTTGCAGGGTTGTGGTAGTGTTTGTTTGTAGTATTCATTGGGCAGAAGGTGAGGTACACTCTGGACAGTCTGCCAGTCCATCACAGGGAAACACAATATTAATCTTGCATACACTCACCAGGCACCTTTTAATTTTTTACGCACTGTCCTAGTATTGATTTTGCATCTCTTTTTACCTCAGAACTGCCTTAGTCATGGCATAGATTCAAAAAATATATCAGTTATATCCCCCAGAGATTTCCATCTACTTTAAAATGAAATTATGTCAGATTTATATAGCGCTTTTCAGGACCCTCAAAGACACTTTACAAGGATTCAAACACACATTCATACACTGATGGTGGCAAGCTACTGGATTGTAGCTACAGCTGCCCTCTGTCCCCATATTAATGTAACTGATGGCATCGCATAGCTGCAGCAGATTTGCTAGACACACATCCATGACGAGAATGTCCTGTTCCACAACATCCAAAGATGCTCCATTGATGGAGGTCATGGAGCTACAGTGAATTTGTTGACAAAGCAGTTTGAGATGATTTAAGCTTTGTGACACATTGCATTATCCTGGGTACACTGCGGTCACAACAGGATGGACACGGACACCAACAACGCTCTGCTTGGTTGATGTGTTCAAATGATTGTCAAGGTGGCCCAAAGTGTGCAAAAATAATAATAATAACAATAATAATCTGATACATGCTTTCACTGTATTTATAAAGAACAGATTCTTTTTAAGAAGATTTGCAGAGTTGCAGATGTAAATAAGTTTACATTCGTTTACATTTTGTAAAATGTAAATTTACATGTTACATTTTACATTATTTACATTATTTGCATGATAAGACTGATTAGCAGTCTTAGCAGCTGCTAAAACTGTCTTAGCAACTGATTTTGTTGCTGTTCTCTCTGTTCAGTGTTATTGCAGAGCAGGACAGAGTTGTGTAGAGTGTGGAATGTCTGTGGCTGGTGTCACATATTCAATAAAACTGTTATTTACACCCGTAAAACAATAAAAAACAGAAACAAGGACGCCTCCCACTGACAGCTGTGAAATACAGCTCTGTTCTGTGACAACTGCAACATCTTTCTGTCTTTCCCATCACTGCTGTTGAATAAATGAATCAAATCATAATCATATCATAATCAAACATCTGAAATCACTCAATCAGAAAATGCATTCAATAAGAATGTAAGACGCTAATTTAGTGATAACTGTTCTTCTTGTGGTAATGTGACAATTTATTGCTGTGCTGTTTTACTTGCTTTTAAAGCCTGATGTTAAATAGACAAACACCTCTAAACTGTTTACATGACGTCTGTTGCTTGCTGGAGATTTCCACAAGGTGGCACATCAACAAACTGTAACCGGGTTCGTTTCTCGATTGATTTTTTACCCAGAAAGCACATGGGCAAAAACCATAACCATGAGTGAAACGGTCACTGGGACTGACTAGTATATATTCCATTGAGAAGGGAACGTAACTATAATATATTAATTTCTCATATGTTAACATAAAGGCTCGTTTTGAAGTATAAGTTGCTACTTGCAGGCATCGCTTCGAAGAATTCAACCTGGAATGCGGCGTTCATAACAGACACGTGTGTTCATCTGCTCTACCGCTAGCAAACAACCGTACTGATTAAATAACAAAAGTCAAGCAGTTCCCTAAAAGTCCAACAGATGGCAGCAATGCGCCATGCAAAACAAAACACCCACAGTTTACCGGACACACGTCCTGCTAAAGAGCCCCCTGGTGGTTGAAGAAAAATCCACATATAAACCGGAAAATACAATAAATGAAAAAAAAAATCTGAATGCTCTCTGGTATTGTTCAGGGGCCGGACCAAATGTGGAGGCGGTCCGGCCCGTGGGCCATAGCTTGGGGACCCCTGTTGTAAAGCATGAAAAAGCTGAAATAACCAGATTTGCATAACTTTGCCCACACTCGTGCTGATATTTTGTTGAAACATATTATGATCTAATTTTAGAATTTAGTTTTCTTTGGTTGGTGTCAAGCAACATCCCACAATTTGACTGGATAATAGCATTATAGTAATAATACATTTCACTAACAGTTCAGTGTTTTCAGGACGTCTCTTGCCACTGCAGGTTTCTTCAGATTGGCTGAACATCGTCTCTACCGTTCCAAAGCTTTAATTTTCTCACACTGAAGCTGTTCATTTCCTGGTTTTGGCTCACTGTGAAGTTTTAGGCCAAAAATGATCTAGAGGTGTTCATAATGTAATCTACCTTGACAAAAATTCTAGTTTTCTAAATCTAAAGATACCCCACAGTATAATGCTGCCACCACCATGTTTCACTGGTGGTATGCTGCACCTTTGGAGATGTATAGTGTTGTTCTTCTGCCAACATTTTCTAACCTTTTCTGCAAACTATGTACTTTGCTAAATAATGCAGGTGAGCATATTTCACAAAAAAAGCTAAAACTAGAGAAGCAAACAGTTTTTTGAATCTAATTTACTTTTTACATTTCCCTTTAAACCAGTAGTTTTGTTTTGGTTTAATTGTATGACATTAATTTTTATAGTTAAGTCTGGTATTTTAACAGGGGCGTGTAGACTGTTTTATATCCACTCTCCACCTATAAAATAAGAAAAACCTATTTTTCAGGAGTACAACAAGAAAAAGCACTGTATAATGAATATTTCTCTAACTGTTGCTATGATGAAATTCTTTGTCATTGTCTATGGCCGTTGTGTCCACTTCAGGTTATTGGTGGGTTTATAGCTTATTAGATGAGTCCTGGTTTTCTTTGTTTTGGGAAGACTTCTTGTTTGCTTGTTTGTGTCTCAGTCATTTTACTTCAGACTCTCATTACAACCTGTTCTCAGCATTAATCAATGTGTTCCTCAGTTTGTTTTTCTAAAGATGCAAAATCTATATTTTACATGATTTGTTTGTCCTGTTCAGTTACATTTCAGTTTTTGTGCCTAGTTTTCCTTAATGTTATTTTCCTTCTTTCACTATTTGCAGTAGGTGTTTGGACCTTAGTTTTATTTACAATACCTGTCCTGCCATAAGAAATGTAACTTACAATATGATTATGAATAAGAAGTAAAAATTTTGTTAATTATACCTTGGGAGAATTAGTGATCTCTTTAATTATACTTCTGTGTGTTTTTGCACCCAGCTGTCTCTGTTATCTGACTTCGGTTTTCGAGGCGTTCTTCTCTACATCGATCCCTGTGACGCGCCGCCTGGCCGAAACATCTGGCATGAAGCTTTCAGAGTCACTTTAAATCCTGGAGGAAACCCTTCCTTTGGTAAGTGACCAAGATGTTTGTTTTTTTAATGCTATTAGAATAGATTTCAGCTGATATGATTCTTTAATTCAATTCTGTTGATGGCCTATTATTGTAATTCTCAAATCATAGCACATTTGCTTGTCCAGTGTATTGACCTACTGCTGCACAATAATAGTACCCACAAACAATATGGAAAGTAAATGTACTTAATTCTTGATATAATCTGATATTTTAAAAGTAAATGTAGCAAATAAATATCTTATATTTTGGTAATTCTAACTGGGCTAGAATAAGAGAGGTTCACTGTCATTTAACTTCAGACAGAGTGCGCAGCTTTTTTTTTCAGCATATGTAAACTTCTGGCTCAAACTCAGTAAAGTTATGTGGCATCCAGCATCTTCCCAGTCATAATATTCCAAAGTGTTAAATTGTTTCTGAAGAGGAGATCATTATTTTTTCTAGGGGTGCACCTATGTGAAATGTCTGGCCACTATCGATATCCAATATTAATATTGCAGTTATGTTTATGGATGTTATATGTATCTCCTGATCATTCTGACATGGTGAAAAAACATCCACATAACCCTGGCATTGCTTCTCTGCTCAGATTAAACTCCTCCTACTTTGTGCTGCATCACTAACCAAATACCACATGACCAACCCTCCTCTTCCTCCTGAAACACAAACAGCTGAAGGACGGAAATATATATTGATTATTAATATCAGCACACTTTACTTATTTTTAAGAAATGACTAATGTTGGCTGATACCGATGTTAATGTGGGCATCCGTAATATTTTTATGTTTTGACTGTACTTTGTAACAAACCTTACTCACATTTCTATTCAGTGGCGTTTTTAAAGGCTGACTTAGTTATTTTAGTGGAAACTCATATAAAGTGTTCAGAATGATGAGGCCACTTTGTTAGGCACACCTTGATAGAACCAGGTTAAACTTCCTTTGAATGACCCGGTTGAGTGAAACATCTTTATGACGATGACCTCTCTGACTTATGGTTACTCTGCTGGGTGGTTTAACACACACCAACATATAATCTACAACAGGAACAGACTAATCACTAAAAGAACAATGCTAAACAATTTACAGAAATGACTAAAATAAACATAAATCCTACCCACTATGCCTTCAATAAGTCATAGTGGGTGGCATTAGAATAATGCAAATATATAAACTCTGTTTTCAATTAATCAATATTTTCCATCTTCTTCATTGGTCTTTATAATATTAAAATATGTTCACTAAAGAGCAAATCGGCAGGAAAAGTGGGTCTATTATTCACTCACATTAATACTGCTTTACCTCCTTATAACAGGGATATGGCAGGTGACAAAATAGAAGGAATAAACCATCTAATATTCACAAGTTATTTTTTTCTGACATGGCTATGTGAATTTGTTTTGCACCATTTGTTTGGGTTTATTTGGTGCAAAATTGTAAGTGTAAGATTTTTTTTTAAAGTGTGACTGAAGGAATACAATTTATGTCTTGTACTTTAAGAATCTGAAGAGGTGTAGCTGTTATTTTGTGTTTATGATAGACTGAAAAAAAAACAACTTTTGCTCTAAAAATACCTTCATAAAAACAGTCGTATTACTTAAGTTACTTCAGAGTGAGCTTCTCAACATGTGCAGTGTCTTAACACAATACGATGAGGGACTTTGCAAAGGAACACACTGGATTGTTGAATTCACTCAGCCCTGTTACTGATGCTCCAAAAAAGATTTTATGTGATTTTAACAAGTCAAAAAATTAT